AGTGTGTCACGCGTTCGTAGGTAGGGGTGAACTGGTGAACACCCCCATCCTGAAGCGCACAACCCGCCACCAAGTTCGTAGAGAACGAGGGGAGGTGGAGACCTGACAGTGTGCCCGACAGGACAGCAGGACAAGGCAGGACAGTGGAGGAGGTCGCAATGACCGGACCCCCAGAGGGGTCAGCGAGCGAGACAGCGACTGGTCGAGCAAGGGGCTCAAGAGGAGTGCGGTCACGAAAGAAACAGCGCGAAGCGCCTGAGTCTAGAGTGAAGGTGTGCAGTGCCTCAGTGGACTCAGTAGTACCTGGGGTGGCGGACACACAAGCACCTAGAGCAGTAGCCTCACCAGCACCTGGGGCAGCAGACACGCAAGCACCTAGGGCGGCAGCCTTACTCGTGCGGATGCCTGGGTCAGGCGGAACACACAGGTACTGGTCCTCCTCTCCACTAATAGTCAATGCATACATGGCTTTGAGAATAACATCAAAATCAAGAGCATAGATATCGATATCCTTCTTGAGGAGATCAGCCCACTGAGGGAGCTCAGGAGCGTCAGGAAACTGAGCACGCCAAGCGTCATCTAGGCGAGAGAAGCAGCGCTGCGCAGTGTGCGCCCTCCCGCACGTCTGTCCCTTGCGGCGACCAGTGCGGATGACGTACGTGCAGCTAAGGCTACCCCCCCCACCCCCGTGCTGTAAGTACCACTCACGAAGCTCCTGGGAGGACTGAGGGTGCTGCGTGCTCTGGCCAGTGCCAGAGCCTCCACGACCACCACCGCCGCCGCCACCACGACCACCACCGCCCCTGCCGCCGCCACGTCCTCCGCCGCCACCACCACCGCCCCCACCCCGGCCACCGCCGCCGCCGCTGCCTCCACCACCCCCACCGCTGCCACTAGCCCCTCCAGCCCCGCCACCGCCCCCACCGCCGCCACCACCCCCACCACCGCCTCCCCCGCAATCACCCCCACCGCCCTTGCCTCCCTTGCCCCTGCCGCTGCGGCGCCCGCTGGGAGCGGACGCAGACCTGACTTGCTCAGCACCAAGGAGGTCGACAGCAGCAGCAGAGGCGACAGAGGGGAGCAGGGGGGAGGGGAAACACCCCTCGAAGAAAGGGGTGCGGGGGTCACCACGAGAGGCACCTACAGCTACAATACTCTTCTCAGGTGCAAGGAGTTCCTTCTCGAGGGTGGCAATGGTGAGCTCAGTGGGGCAGCGGGCTAGGAAGCTGTCCTTGACTGTACGCAGAGTGTCAGGAAGGCGGGTAACTAGGTGGTAGAGAGTGAGCCAGAGCGGGGGAGGGTTGGAGGCAAGAAACTCAGCAGGCATAGCGGCATGGAAGCGGGCCTCACTAGTGCGGAGGTGCGTGATGAGGTCAGCGACTGTCTGGAAGGCGGAAAGGTCAGGGAACAGGTAGGGAAGCGAGAGACGGCCTAGCGCAGCAGAGGCTGGGGAGGAGTAGCGCGCAACTACAGCAGTGTACAGTGCCTGGGCAGTCCTGTGCTGGCCGAAGTGCTCGCGCTCATCTACAGGCAGGGAGTTGCGAATAGCGAAGCGAGCGTGGGCGTCACGAGTCTGCCACTGGGAGCGGGTAGTGGCGTCAGCATCAGTAGCAGGGGCAGCAGCTTTGCCTAGTGCATGATCGTACAGTGAGACATCCTCCCTGGCAGTGAGCTGGAGGAACAGGTGCAGATCATCGAGCCAGATCTCAAACTTAATCGGGCGGCCCTCAGCATCGAACGAGAGAACTGTAGGGCTAGCCATAGCTGAAGTAGCAGCAGCAGTAGCAGTAGCAGTAGCAGTAGCAGTAGTAGTAGGAGCAGTTCAGTCCAGTACTGGCCCTGCTGCTCAGGTAAGGAGGGCGCAGCTCGGCTAGGACGGCGCGGCTCGGCTAGGGCGGCGCGGCTCAGTCGGGTCGCGCGGTTCGGCTCGGGTCGCGCGGTTCAGCTGGGGTCGCGCTGCGCGGCTCGGTCGTAGAGGGGCGAGCGCGGGGGCCGTTCGGGGGCCGTTCGGGGCTAGTGCGGGGCCATTCGGGGGCCGTGAGAGGCTAGCGCGGGGCCTTAAGGGGCCGTGAGAGGCTAGCGCGGGGGCCGCAAGGGGCCGTTCGAGGCTAGCGCGGGGCCGTTCGGGGCCGTAGGAGGCTAGCGCGGGGCCGTAAGGGGCCGGGGGAGGCTAGCGCGGGGGCCGCACGGGGCCGTTCGGGGCTAGCGCGGGATCGTACGGGGGGGGCCGTGAGAGGCCTTAAGGGGCGACGCGAGGAACGAGGCGCACGAGGGCGCTAGGAAAAGGCGGCGCACTAGGGCGCGGCTAGCGGAAACGGTGGGCCCTAACGTTTCGGTCCTAGGTGAAACCTAGGCTCGTAATACCATGTCAGAATGAGAAACTAGAATGATGTGACTAACAAGAACAAGAGTACAAATATGAAACCCTAATCTGGTGTACCCCCTAAGGTGTAACCCACTACAGCCTAGAACCACTTAAACATATAATGTTTGACACCATTCATGCACAGATTGGTTCCCTCACAACACTACAATATCTGTAAGAACTATTTTTCCCTTCTCTCCTCTTGAATTTCTTCTGTTTTCGTAAGAGCGTTAACAAATAGGTTCGCTGCCTGCCCGGCCTTTGTGCTCATGCTTGTTTCACACTGTTTATTGTTAGTGTTATCCCTCAATCTCACACTTTGTTTTTTGCTCTTTTTATATCCTAGTGTAATGTACATTGCACTTTGTGTTTGGTTGGGTGTACACCAACATCCCAACCAAACCCAAATGTAATCTCCAAGCAATCTCCAAACCACCAATTGGAGATTGTCTTGGGATTACCCCCAATCTCTAGAGATTTCCCCCGATTCCCTTCCCCATCTATTGCTTGCCCATTTTGGATGTACTTACAGAGCTTCAAGCTTGCTACTAATGTGTCCTTTCTAAGCTTAAGTTGTGACATCTATATGTATTCACTGTTCTCCGCATCCCACTACTCTTTCAAACCCTTCCATGCTTACGGGCTCTGAGTTACGAGTGATACTGTTTCAGCTATGGCTCTGGCCTGGTGTCCGCACAACCACCACTCTCGCTCCTCTTGCCCACTTCTTCACGTTGCTCTCTGTCTCGGCCCTTGTCTCGTGCGCCATGCCCATCCCAAGTGGCTTGGCCAAAACCAGCTCACAGGCTCAATCCCAGCTGGCATAGGCTCCCTCACAGGATTGGTGCACTTGTAAGACTCATTGTGTTTTTCCTATCACGTGAAATGATTCAGCACGACAACATGTGGTAGAAGGCATGTGCATGAGCCTGAGTCCGTGACTCTAGTAATTAACACGCATCATGGTTTGATTCGAGCGGGGGATCCAGCGCAGCTGGCTCATCCAAGACAATCCTGCACCCGCAGAAAGGGGCAGGGCTAGCAACCAGTCTCCGGCACCCAGGCCGTGTAGAGAGTTCGGCGTTATGCTGCGGGAGTCGTCGAGCTGGCGGATGAAGTGGGCCTAGTGGACTGCTAGTGCGAGCGCCTGCTGGAGCATCGGTCTGTCTGGATCAGGGGGAAGTCGAGCTTACGCCGCTTTTAATCAGGTTGCGAGGGCCGTTGAGGATTCTGGATGGAAGTAGGAGATGACAGTTGCAAGGTAGACGTAGGCTGCATCTGTGGCTGGGGTCCGTGGAGGTCACCGGCAGCACCGCTTGGCGCCAAATGCGTGTCCGCTCTTCGGCGGTGCTTGCAAGAATGTGTGCAGGAGGCGTTCCCACCATGCCAACAATTCTTGCACGTGCATTGCTCCTAGTGGAATTGTTCGGGTGAGAAAGGACGCTTGCCTGCTGACGCATTGGGTGAGGAGGAGGTGCCATGTGAGCCAGGAGTGGTAGCGGTTCAGCCGCGGTGGCAAGGTGCTTCTTGAGAGATCTCGTGCACCCTGGCATGGGGTTAAATAGAGTTGCCAAGCACTGTAGTGACCTCCAGCCTGGTCTTGAGTTCGGATTCGCAGAGAGGTGGAACAGCAGGGTCAGCATATAGGCTGTGAAGGCCTCACAAATGTCGTGAGGGGAGTGCTGGGAGAGAGTAGGCTGGCAACTGGCTCTTCTGGGGCCGAGCACTACTGCTTCAGTAGAGATGGACGATTAGCTGGATGTTTCCTCCTCAAGTGTTTTTCTCCTCAAGTGTTTTTCTCTCAAATGATCGCATTCCTGTTTGCATAGGCTGAGGACACCACGTTAATACTCTCTTGTTTGTTTTGTATTTGTTTGCAGTTTTTTGTTTATTCTTTCACAATCATCATATCCTCCTTGGATGCCATAACTCATCTCCTAGTACCTTAACATTTCAAGCTCTCACCACAGGGATTATGATCCCAACCTACGGTCTCACCCACCTCGTCCTCATATCTCCTCGCCTGCATATTTGTGCAGTTCAACTCGTCGCAAACCTTTTGACTTTATTTGCAACGGATCCTCACAATGCTCCATACTTTGTTAACGAAATGCTCTCTGACTGCCTGGTTCCCCATGTGTCGCATACATATACAACTGCAGATATCTGGACAGCAACAAGCTTACTAGAAATATCTCCTTCATTTCAACCCTGACTAATCTAGAAAACGTGTAATGCCTTCACCCTGATTTCACTTGGAAATTGTGAGTGAGAGTGGGAGACTCGTGCGAGAGTTAGAGAGTAATGAGAGAGATTACAAGAGTTGTGAAAGAGTGACGGTGTGATGCCATGTCCACTCCGTACTGTTCTCACTCCACTCTTTCTATGGATTGCTCTGTTTTCTGCCCAACTCATTTTTCCTTAGGTATCTTGACGACAATGAGCTCAATGGCTCCATTCCTTCTGTCATTGGCTCTCGCCTCCGCAAACTGAATTTTCTGTGACGCCTTTATTTTCCCTCTTATTGTATTTCGTTCTTGCCTCTTTGTTGCACCCTGCTTTACATATCTCTGTCTGGTCCGCGACTTCCTTTCAAACTTGCCTTTCCCCTCTGTACTATGCCCAGTTCCCTAGCTCATATATTCTCCTCCTCATCCTCCTCCTCCTCCTCCTCCTCCTCCTCCTCCTCCTCCTCCTCCTCCTCCTCCTCCTCCTCCTCGTCCTCCTCGTCCTCCTCCTCGTCCTCCTCGTCCTCCTCGTCGCCGACCTCCTCTTCCTCGTCCTCCTCGTCCCCCCCCTCCTCCTTCTCCTTTCCTCCTCCTCCTGTTCTCCTCCTCCTCCTGTTCTCCTCCTCCTCCTCCTCCTCCTCCTCCTCCTCCTCCTCCTCCTCCTCCCCCTCCTCCTCCTCCTCCTCCTCCTCCTCCTCCTCCACATCCTCCTCCTCCTCCTCCTCCATTCTCCTCCTCCTTCTCCACCACCACCTCCTCCTCCTCCTCCTCCTCCTCCTCCTCCTCCTCCTCTCCTCCTCCTCCTCCTCCTCCTCCTCCTCCTCCTTCTCATTCTCCTCCTCCTCCTCCTCCTCCTCCTCCTCATCCTCCTCCTCCTCCTCCTCATCCTGCCACTCCTCCTCCTCCTCCTCCTCCTCCTCCTCCTCCTCCTCCTCCTCCTCCTCCTCCTCCTCCTTCTCCTCCTCCTCCTCGTCCCCATCCTCGTCCTCGTCCTCCTCCTCTTCCCTCCTCCTCCTCTTCTCCTCCTCCTCCCCCTCCTCTGTTTCCTATTCCTATGGTATTGTCTCTTCATCCTTCCTTTGAGCATATAATTGCATAACGTTTAGCCATTTTCTCGCTGCCATAATTCACCCCCATTTTTAATACCCCCCTCTCCGCCACCTATGCAATCTGTCTCTTCATCCTCGCTTCCAAAAATGCCCATCAAAATTACCTCTCAGGCCCCATTTCAGGTCTTCCATGAAATAAAACGGGCCTCTCAGACAACTACTTGACTGGTTCTCTACCAAAATCAGCCTGTAACACAGACGATAAACTTGCTGGTGTCGCAAGTTTATGGAGAACGGAAGGGAGTGTACATAATGTACATTTGTACAGGCAATCGAGTAAACTGGTACTGAAGATAGGGACCGAGGCTCGGATGATGGTTGGGTGATGTTGGGCTGCCAAGTCAGCAGACAGTCGTATGGGGGGAGCGGAGAAGGGAGACAACTGGATGGAGCTTTTGCTTTGTGTGAAGAATGCATGTTTGTTTCCTTGCAGGTTGGATGTCCGAGCCACCTGGAGTTACAGGCGCGAGCTGGAGGTCAAGCAGTGGGGTGGCTAAGTGGCGGTGGCAAGAGGATGAGAAGGCTGTCCTTTCGCTTTGGTGGGAGGCCATCCCCTTCGAAGGGCATTAACGGTGTAGCAATAGGGGGAGGAAGTAGGCTAGGATATAGGGGGTACGAGCATTTGACTCTGCATTGTTTGTACGTCCTGTAATACTCATGTGATTGCTTTAGAATCATGTGGGGGTGAGCGGCAGGCCATAACAAACCCTGGAGACATAGAGAAGTGACGTAGGTGGTGCTCATTAGTGGATGTGAGTAAGCTGCACGAGCTCTTCAGGGAATACTAAGCATCAGAAGGAGCAAAGTCAGCAGTGAGATTACATCAAGCAAGCAAGCATGAGGGAACGACTTCAGAGGCAGGAGTCAGCATAGCCAGAGAGCAAGGGGGGGTGGTACATAAGAAACGAGAGATCTGACAGAGAGTGGGGAAGAGAGGAGGGAGAGATAGGGGAAGGGCATCTGGATAAGGAGAGGTAAGGGAATTTCCGACACTGGCAACTGCTTCACACACGGCCGCTGTTCGTTGACGCAGCAGCGGCTTGCAGCGGAGTGCACTGCGTTTTGTGGCATCTCCAACGCGATCAGTGCTTGTGATGGTCATGGCATCTGCTATCCAGACGGACCCAGCTTGGTGCCCACGTGCTTGTGCAACCGGGGATACGTGCGCGTTGGAAGAGCCAATTGCTTTGCACAAGGTAACGGATCGTACCTTTGGGCTTTGCACGTGAGCACCATGCACTCATTGGCTCAGGCCTATGCCTATTCTTTTTGCCTCGTGAACAAAAACACAGATGTCAGATGTTTTGGTATAATTCGTTTTACTTGACTGTTGAGTCTTGTAATCATATGCTTCTGCTGCTTCACAAAATGACTGCAACCCTATGCTGTAATGTGACTTGACTCAACTCCTTGAAATCTCTGTCAAGTGTTGACTTGGCTCTAATCGAGTTGAATTGAGTTGCTCAGCCGGCTGGTAGCTGCTTGACTTGACCCGTTTCGTCAATATTACAACAGACTTGTGTTGAAATTTTTGGGTCGTTGTGCCCAACCCAACCACTTACCCGTACTCTGCCTCTTCTCCTCTCCCCAACCTTCCCCACCCCCCCCCCCCCCCCCCCCCCTCTCCCCCTCTTTAGTGAGCATAAGATTCTCTTCCCTATGCAGGATATAAAAGCAAAGGACCCCCCTCAGTTGCTCAAATATTATTGTATGAAACTCCCCTTCCCCCTCCCCTTTATGTCCTCCCCTGCCATGCCTTGAAATTCGAGTTGGAGTCCAAGCTTTGTCAGCAAGACTATTCTCCCCTCATTCAGTGTCCTTACAAAAGGCACGAAGCCTGAGACAGCGGGGAGGTTCATGGCAAAGCCGTTGACCCTGTTTGCATACCCAACTCCTTTGAGTACGGGATGCGGTGTGCAGTCCGGTTTCAGTGTCAACTTCACCTTCTCTCTCCAGTCCCAGGACAGTAGTGTTGGCTCCAACGGCTTCGCATTTGTGATAACGGCAAAGGGCAAGGTGGTGGGGAAGACCAATGGTGTAGGGTATGGTGGAATGGTCAAGCAGAGTGTAGCCATTGAATTCGACACGCTCCAAAATGCTGGATATGTTGCTACAAACGAGCCGCATGTGAGGCTCAACATAGATGGCTTGAGTACGTCATTGGTTGCAGTGGAGTCACTATACAGCCTGACCAACGGAGCTTCATACACGGCATGGGTGGACTATGACCCTTGGAATCGTGGCTCCATCAAGGTGTTTCTGGCCGATGCCAAGGAGAAGCCAGAGGAGCCGCTGCTGCAGAGGGAGATGTCACTGTGTGCCGTGCTGCAACCCAGTGGAAAGCAGTTGGCGTTCTTCGTTGGCTTTGTGGCATCCACCACTGTGAAGCCCTTCCAGAGACATGCCATTCTCAACTCCGCCATAAAAACAAGCAAGATCTTTTGCAGTTGAAATAATGGTGATGATGGCAAGCATCTGTGCGATGACGGAGCAATGGAAATTATGAGTCTAGGATGAATGGGTGATGGTGATGATGGCAGTGCAGTGCTGGTGGCAATGAAAAGAGCAAAAGAAGGTGGTCATTTGGTTCTTCTGGCAGAAGTTCCCATCTTTCATCTGAAGACTTATGTGGTTGTCCTTCCTCCCTTTTTTCCGTTTGTAGAGATACCACCTCCACCAAAGCCGCTCCAGACCACAACACAAGGTGCTCTCTCTTCGATGTGATCATCACATTGTGATGTAACTCCAGCTGTTGTGATGGTTAGTTGCAACATGTAGGACAGGCCAATAAACTTTAGCTGGGACCCCTAGGGTTAAAACATTCCTAACAATACAATTTGGCCACCTATTACGCTGGATTCAGAATAATGCATAAAATTTTCTATTTGATTATACTTCCCTGGTTTGCTTGAGCTGATTGTGGCATGTTCAGTAAGGTCTCCGTATCGAATCCGTCCACACATCATGTGTGCTTTAATCTATGTATTGCTCTTCATTCATCCCTTCCCTCCCCTCACAGCCCTTGGCCTCGTAGTATCAACGGACACATTTGTTCCACCTGGAGCCAGCCCATTCTCGCGCTATGTGAGCACAGACTACCGATGGACGGATGGCAACAAGGACTCGTGGAAAAGCAGTGACTTCCACACCTGGGACTCCCTCGCCTTCCTCGGCTGGCCTGTCAAGAATCAGATGAACTGCAGTGAGTGGCAAGAGTGTGGAAATTTAAGAGGATGCTTGTCAGAGCTCTGTGTGTTTTAGCATTTCCATCGTTGCTCAAGGCCACGAGGGTGGGAACCACTCCCAGTGCGTGCTTCACTTTGTTTCTATCTACTTCTCAGGTGCATGCTGGGCGTCTGCGGTGGTGGCGAGTGTGGAGGCTGCGTACGGCATCGTATTGAATCAAGCCGCTCCCCAGCTGTCAGTGGAGCCACTCTTTGCAGCCATGGGGCTCACCGATGCAGACAAGTGCACCGTTGGAGGCTCCCCCACTTCAGCATTTGAGAAGCTTGTCACTCTTGATGCCAGCAGTGGACTCATGGGAGGCAGTGATCCGGTAGGCCTAATGGAATGAAGGCATGGTTTGGCAAATAAGGTGGGGTGGGTTCATGAGAGGCTTGGACAGCAAATTGCTGCTTTTGTTGGGTGTTGGGGACTTGGATACGTTAGAGATTCACATGAGCAAAGTTGAGGCAAATTTTCCAGAAGGCTAGTCAAAGCGAACCGAACCGGTTTGAGATGTACCGGTTGGAGGCCAAGCTTGTTAGATGTTCAAACATTTTGGTCAGGGTAAGAGCTGGTTGCGAAGGATGTTGGAGCACGAAATTGAGCCCCTAATTCACAAACTTCCTATATATCCAACTTGCACGGCCTTTGCTGCGTGCTGTTTGATGGGACGTGACACACTAGGGTCGGAGAACTCCAACCGGTTTGCGTCGAATCAGACGGATAAAAATAATGTCGCAGGCAGTTTTATGCCCATCCTCATGGACCGAGGAAACAAGATATCCAGTGGCAGCATTTGAGCGAGCGCTCTTCAAGGGGTACTTTGGGCTCATGCTGGCAGTGCGGCGCCAACCAGTGGTGGTTCACATCGAGGCTTCGGCCAACACGTTCTTCAAATATGATGGGGTGAGTCGTTCTTCTAGTATGATGGGTGAGTCGTTCTTCCAGTATAATGGGGTGAGTCGTTCTTCCAGTATGATGGGGTGAGTTGTTCTTCCAGTATGATGGGGTGAGTCGTTCTTCCAGTATGATGGGGTGAGTCATGCAGCGTGGTGCCTCCTGATACTCTCACAGGTAAGCTAGAGAAGGACGAAGAATACACAATGGAAAAATCAGTAAAGAACCTTTCTTAAAATCTCTGTCCCTATGTTTGCACTGTCCCCTTTTCTACCTCAAACGTTCAAATACCAGGACCCTGCTTGCTACACTGCCAACTTAAACCACGTGGTGCTTGTCATTGGCTACTTCATCAATCAAGACGACGGCAGCCAGAACCGCATTGCTCCTCCGTTTTGGATCATTCGCAACTCATGGGGAATTGATTGGGGTGACCGCGGCCACATGCGCATAGGCATTGAGGGAGGGGATGGTGTGTGTGGCATCAACGTGTTGCCTGGCATCTACCCCACTGTCAAGAGTAAGTCACGTACCCCATTCTAAAGAGTGAGGCATCAACCCCATTCCCTTTGTCCAGAATGAGGCATGTACCTTGCTGTGAGGCATGTACCTTGGTGTGAGGCATGTACCTTGGTGTGAGGCATGTACCTTGCTGTGATGCATGTACCTTGCTGTGATGCATGTACCTTGCTGTGATGCATGTATGCATGTACCTTGCTGTGAGGCATGTACCTTCACTGTGAGTCAAGTCATTGTTGTGAGCTATGTACAGTCAAGAGTGAGGCAGCTGCCTTGTTATCAAGTAAGAAGCATGTTAACCATTGTTAGAAGCAGTAGGCCATCTGTACCCTATCTTGAAGAGTAATCAGTATACGATTATCAAGGGTGATGCAGCCGCTGTCCCCCTACCCACTCCCAACCTTCAAAGCCAAATCCATATCTATTATTTGCTCTACCCTCGTTGTGACAGCTTCATCTTTTACCCCACGTATAACTTCTCTCATTTTGGAAAGTAGAACGTAATATGTGAGAGGCGTGAGACAGGGAAGAGGGAGAAGCATGACAGCTCGGGACGCCTCCTAGATACCAACAAGGTAAATGGCGTGTCCCTGCTGCATAGCCAACGCAATTAGCAGGTAACAGCAAGAAGCCCACATACTCGGGTGAACTGCGATCGTGGTTGGTTTTCAGCGCCGCCTCCTCTTGTGGTTGTCACCAAGCCCATCGTGGAGTTGCTTCCGGGTGCATGTATCTGATGGGTGCTTGATGGTGAGCTCACACCTCCAGAATAGCCTCAAGTCTCTATGTCGGACTGGATGGCTGGGTCATTGGCTGGAGCTGTAAGCTGTGCTCCCCTAGCGCATATCCAAACGTGGAGCATGAAGTTGTCCCGTTGTTGTTGTTGCCGCAGCCACACGCATGCGGCATTGATATGGGGAGGCAGATTTAGAAGATTGAGGCGTTTCAAGATGGACCAAACGAACCCAAAGGGATGACAATAAAATGTCTGCTATAAGCTTGATTGAGAGCTACTCGCTTCCTTTGCAGTAGCAGACCTTCTGGGATAGTCAATTTCCTGGAGAGAGATGTAAAGCACAAGAATATGAGGCGGTATGCAAATTTCCCTCTTGCACTTTGGTTGAGATATTGAATTGACAGAATTGGGCAAATATTTCTTGCGTTTGTTCAGGTGGACTCTTAAAGGCACATTTTGGTGCGTAGCCTCATTATACACAGGTAGCAAGGCATGTGTTAAATCTGTAACCTCTCTCTTTCACCTTCCAGTTCCAGAGGACCCATGCAGTAAAAGAAGCCACAAGGGCGATCAGGATTCGTACGGCCTCAACCCTTGCGGCCGGTTCGCATGTCAGGAGATTAATGAAGATTACAGCTGCAGCTGTATAATTCCCCAAGTTCCTACACCTATGATGCAACCTTTTGTAGAGGCTGAAAACGGATATGGCTCCAAAACATTTGCTTATGGTAAGATGTAGCTCTCTCTCTTTCTCTATCTATCTCCCACTTTACACATACACACCGACACCCACCCTTCTGAACCCATGCGTGAAGGGAAGTGACGGGTGTGATTACCCTTGTTATCCCTACGTCCCTCGTTCTTTGATCTTCCTCTGTCGCTCTCTAATCTGTGCGACGTCCATCACCTCATTATCCTCATGGCAGTGGACGTGTGTGGGTCCTACTTCAAGAACCCCTGCTATGTGGGCACATGCATCAACGATCTCAAGGGCTCCTACTCCTGCATCTGCTCTCCCAACCACATTGAACAAATTACCCTTCATGGCTTTCCCACCTGTGATCCAGGTGATGCTTTGGCACTCCTAGTTTGCTGATTTCCTGTCTTAAATCCTAGGCACTGCAGATATAACATGTGCCTTTTTCTCCCCAACCTTGCCACAATGCCACTCTCCTTCTCTTTTTCTTATGCATTCATCCTACCCTACTTGATACCTACTGGGAATTTCACAGCCACCAGCATGACAGTCAATGGAGACGGCTGGCTGTGTTCGGATGTTTCTCCGCTTGTTGGCATTGCATTCGAAGAGTTTCGTTCCAACAATTTGGTAAGGACTTAGTTTAGAATCGACAAAAAACATGGCACTGGTTTGTTTGGACACACAAATCTGCATGTTCTTGATTCGTTGTGCCGCACTTGGTTCTTCTTTAAAGCAACATTGCTGATGTTCTGTCATGGTCAGCAGGGAATGTGATTATGACCTTGCACTCACGCTGCAACTTCTTCATGCAACTATTTCACAATGCAGGCCATAGATTGTAGCTAGACAGCCCAAGGGCAGTGTGCTCCAGCTGGGTGGTACTCCTGACATACCTTGCACCGCCTTCTTCTACGCCCTCAAGGTGAGACGAGGTGCTGCCTTCTTTATTTCACCATGCAGTGCTGTCAATTGGCTACCAACAAGGTACATTCCGTTGTAACCAATACGCCAGATGCACTCAACACATGCATTCTCCCTTGTCTTGTCCAACCCCCCAGGGTGACACCTGTTCATCCATCACCAGTCATGTCAGGATGGATGAGGGGGATCTCGCCAAGCTCAACCCCGGCCTCAACTGTTCGCTGGATGGACTCAAGATGGGCTAGTCAGTGTGCATTAAGCGCAGCTCAACCTTCGCCTACACTTTCCCTGAGTGTTTAAATTATGGCACGCTGACAACAAAAGACACATGTGAGGTGCTGCTTCAATCAACCCCTGGGAGTAAGTGGGCTGAGCTGTACCGCAACAATCCTGGTCTGTCCTGCTCCAGCACCATCGCAAGCGAAACCAAAGTGCAGGTAAGGCTTAAGAGGTGCATAATGTTCTTTAGATAACATTGGGAAGGGAGGGAAGGGAAGCAGCAGAGAAGGAGTGAGACAGAAGAGGGAGGCATGAAGATGGCAATGCAGACGAGAAGTGCAAACCGGTGGACAAAGGTCATCGTTGGGTACTTTATTGAAACAAACCTCATGTAAACACCATCTTTTGCACTGCCATGTGATGACTATGCTTCCTTTGAAGCATTTTTTTGCCCCCGTCACCCTTGCCTCTATTTCGGATGTCTTCTCTGGTCTCACTTGTGACGTTTGACATTAATTCGTCCTATATGGCAGGTGTGTCTGAGAGCAGAGTACAGGTCATTCACAAAAGGCATCATTTGCAAGAAGGGCGTCTCCAAGAAGGTGAACACGAAAGATTCATATTTGAGTGTATTCGTTACATGTAAATTTCAAAGTAATCAGTAGTTTTCAGAATATAATGGCAAGGACTGCTCAGGCACTGTAGATAAGAAGTTAATATGTCTGCCCAAATAAGTTTAGGCTAGACGTGTATGTATGGTATTCTAGGCATTATTAAGCTATCAAGATTCTTTTTGTGCTTTGACATCAATTTACCTTCTATTCCATGGAGAATGCATTAATCAGGCATGTTGCCATAATCCTTCTGAGGGTATATCCTGTGAAGATGAGAACAAGAGAATGATTGAACTACAAAAGAGTTGGGTACAAGAACTAACCCTAATTGGGTTGTACCCCTTATGAGCTACCCCACTACAGCCTACACAAATGTATAAGCTATAATGTTCTGACACACCCCCATAGGCAAAGTGGGGGAGAATAAGTGGTCACAAGACCAGTCAAGCAAAGCAAAGCAAGCTCAGGGTGGATCACAAAGTCACCACACAGTCCGAGAACAAGAGTAAGGCCACAAGGCCAGTTCACATGCAAGATCATATATAAAAGGGTAAACAATCAATTGCAGGTATAGAAAGAGGACAGTACAAACAAGATCAAGAAATGAGCAAGTGAGGCTAGGTAGGTACAAGACCTAGCAAAGTACAGATCCGCTGATGATCACAAGGCGGAAGGGCCTTGGTGAAGATATCAGCAGTGTTGGCCTCAGAGGCCACGTAGGTGAGGCGGAGCTGACCACGCTGCTGCAGCTCACGAGCCACGAAGTAGCAGAGAGCAATGTGCTTCGTTCTGTGCTCCAAACTGTGCTCCCGACACAAGGCCAGCATGGCCTTGTTGTCTACGTACAGAGCAGGAGGAGAACGAGGCGGCTCTCCTAGGTCAGTTAGAAGGTAGGTGAGCCAGCGTAGCTCCTGTGCAGCCATGGCCTGTGCGCAGATCTCTCTCTCACAGCTGGAGCTGAGAACAGAAGACGAGCGGGTAGACCGCCACGAAACAGAGCCAGAGCCAAGGCTGAAGGTGTAACCCTGTGACGACCGCTGCAGAGCCTGGTCGTCAGCCCAAGAAGCGTCATCGTGACCTGTGAGGACCACTCAACATCGCCCTAGCACTAGCCCCATGCCCGACATACTGCACACGTAGCGCAACACCCTCTTCGCTGCAGCCATGTGCTCTGGTCGGTGTCTCCCAGGAGCAAAATAGCGTGCCAAGATGCTAAGAGGGTATGCAAGGTTAGGTCGTGTGTAGGTCATCAGGTACATGAGGTAGCCAACAAGCTCTGGGTACAGACCACTCGACTCTACGGACTCATCCGAAGGCACAGCTGAGAGCGAGTGGCGAGTAGACAAAGGAGTGGCCTGAGGCAAGGAGTACGTGAAGCCAAAGTGCTGAAGGACCTGCTGCACCATGTGTGACTGAGTTAGGGTAATGGTGCGCTGTGCTCTGTCCCGGGTGATCTGCAAGCCAAGGTAGCTACGCAGTTTACCTAGGTCTCTGCACGTGTGTCTCTTCTGCAGCTCGGACTTCACGTGGGCGAGTCCAGCAGTGTCAGCAGTGGCAAAGACCAAGTCGTCGACGTACACGAGGAGGTAGAACGGCGACAGAGAGGTGTCGGTGCGCAGAAATAGCGACGGGTCGACTGTAGAAGGAGCAAACCCAAGAGCCGCAAGCGTAGTCCTTAGTGTGTCATGCCACTCACAGGCCGCCTGGCGGAGACCGTAGACTGGCCGCCGGAGGCTCCACTGGGTACCAGGAGGAAACGACCCAGTGAAGCCAGGAGGGCGGCACAGCCAGATCTCCTCGTGCAGGCTGCCCTGTAGGAAAGCTGTGCTGAAGT